ACTCCATCTGTCAATTAGGTTCATTGGCTGGAGTCATCAGGGTCTCCTGCAACAACACCATGGGGTACCCCCCTCCTGAAGGAAGAAGAGCACCCAGCATCTCCAGAGACTCTTCCTGCAGCCATGGACATTGACGGTTGCAATCTTCATAGTTTCATAGTAGCTAGGGTCAGGAGGGACCTGAACAGATCATCTAGCCTGACCCCCTGCCACAGGCAGGAATGAATGCTGGGTTCACAAGACCCCAGACAGGTGATCAGTCAACCTTTTTTGAATTTGCCCAAGGTGGGGGCAAGGACCACTTCCCTATGAAGTTGGTTCCAGATTCTGGCCACCCTAACTGTAACATATTGCCTTCTGATCTCTAACCTATTCTCGATCAGCTTATTACCATTGTTCCTCATCACCCCAGGTGGTGCTGGGGAGAAAAGGGCTCTGCCTATTTGCTGTTGATCTCCCCTGATGAGTTTGTAGGCAGCCACCAGGTCCCCCCTCGGCCTCCTCTTGCTGAGGCTGAACAGGTTCAGGTCCCTCAGTCTCTCCTTGTAGGGCCTGTCCTGCTGCCCTCTCACCAAATGGGTGGCCCTCCTCTGAACTCTTTCCAGGCTGGCCAAATCCTTTTTGAAGTGCGGCGCCCAGTACTGGATGCAGTACTGCGATTATGGCCTGACCAGTGTCTCATAGAGGGGGAGGATCACCTCTCTGGAACAGCTTGAGATGCATCTTTGGATGCATGACAAGGTACGGCTGGCCTTGCTGGCTGCAGTCTGGCATTGGCGGCTCATGTTCATCGTGGAATCAACAATGGCTCCTAGATCCGTTTCCGCCTCTGTGCTTTCAAGGAGGGAACTCCCCAGCCTGTATGTGTGCTGTGGATTCCTTCTCCCCAGGTGCAGCACCCTGCATTTGTCTACATTGAACCCCATCCTATTCTCATCAGCCCACTTTTGTAGTCTGTCTAAATCTAGTTGCAGCCTCTCTCTCCCTTCAAGTGTGCCCACCTCGCCCCACATCTTAGTGTCATCAGCAAACTTGGACAATGTGTTTTCAACCCCCTCGTCCAAGTCACTGATGAAGATACTAAACATTGCGGACCCGAGGACTGAGCCCTGGGGGACCCCACTGCTCACATCTCACCAGGTTGAGTACAACCCGTCCACCACTACTCTCTGGGTGCGCCCCATCAGCCAGTTTTTTACCCATCCAACTGCATAGGCATCAATGCCACAGTCACTTAATTTATTGATGAGAATGGGGTAAGAGACAGTGTCAAAGTCCTTCTTAAAGTCTAGAAAGAATAGGACCACAGCGACACCATCATCCAAGGATTTAGTTACTTGGTCATAAAAGGCAATCAGGTTGGTCTGGCAGGACCTGCCTTTGATGAACCCATGCTGATTGCCCCTGAGCATGATCTCCCCTGCAGGCCCCCCACAGATGTGCTCCTCGATGATTCTCTCCAAGAGCTTCCCGAGCACCGAGGTGAGGCTTACAGGCCTATAGTTACTTGGGTCTTCCTTCCTCCCTTTCTTAAAAATTGGGACCACATTAGCTAGTTTCCAATCCCTCAGCACCTGGCCAGATGACCACGAATGCTCATACAGCTGGGCCAAGGGCTCCGCGAGGACCCCTGCCAGCTCCCTCAACACCCTTGAGTGGAGGGCATCTGGACCTGCAGATTTTAAAATGTCCAGCCCTTCCAGAAGATTTCTAATTACACCTGTGCTGACTGAAGGCCTGACAGAGCTATCCACGAGATTGTCTCTACCTCTGGTAGGTGGGATATCTCGGTCCCTGTTCAAGAAATCAGAGGCAAAGAAACTGTTAAAAATATTGGCTCTCTCATCTGACATAGCCACAAGGTTACCATATGAGTCTTGCAGGGGCCCTACATTGCCTGGTGCCCTCTTCTTGCTCCCAATGTACTTGAAAAAGGACTTTTTGTTGTCCTTAATCCTGGACATTAGCCTGAGCTCCATCTCTGCCTTGGCCTTTCTAATAGCCCTCCTACACTCCCGGGCCAAGGAGGAGTACTCCTCCTTGGTGATAGCTCCTCCCTTCCATTGGTTTTACACCACCCTTTTAGTCCTCAGGCATTGCTGAATGCCCTTGCTGAGCCAAGGGGGTTTCTGAGCACTCTTACCCACCTTGCTTCTCGCAGGAACTGTTACCCTTTGGGCCTGGAGGATCGTCCCCTTAAGTTACGACCATTCCTCATGGACTCCCATCTCCTCTACCTTCTGGGCCCTCAGTGCCTCCCCCACTTGTCTCCAGAACTCATTGAAGTTGGAGTGTGCTTTAGCAAGACTAAAGCCCTTGACACCCTGCGCTGGATAGTGAAATCCAGCAGGTGATGATCACTATTGTCCAGGCAATCAAGGACCTGCACTCCCCTTACCAAGTCATCCCCAGTGGCCAGGACCAGGTCCAGCAAGGCAATACCCTTAGTGGGGCTGTGCACTTCCTGGATAAGGTGAAGGTCCTGTAATACAGCCAGGAACCTACACGAGCGGTCAGACCTGGCTGTCTGCTCCTCCCACCAAATGTCTGGGTAGTTTAGGTCACCCATGACAATAACATCCCTTGACCTAACCACCCCCATAAGCTGCCCAGAGAAGTCCCGGTCCAGTTCTTTCCCCTGGTTGGGTGGTCTGTAGTAGACACCCACCATAAGGTCCCTTCCACCACGTTCCCCTTGTAGTTTGACCCACAGTGTCTCTGCCCGACCCTCCTCTAACCCGAAGCTAATTCTTGATGTTGTGAGGTGCTCTTTGACATAGAGCACGACCCCCCTCCAACATTTCCTCTCTGTCCTGTCCCTTCTATATAGGGTGTATCTCCAAATGCCCACCGCCTACTCATGGGTAGGGTCCCACCAAGTTTCTGTGAGCCCTACTAAGTCTGGATTCTTACTTGCAATCAGGAGGCACAGTTCCTTCTGCTTATTCCCCATACTATGAGCATTAGTGTAGAGGCACTTGAGTCCTCCTGAGGGTGCACGTGCCTCCCCCTTACTCACAGGACAGTTATGGCCCCCTACTCCCAGGACATTGTTGCTTACCTGGGCATCCCTTTCTCTTGTCACTCTGCATGCTAGTGAAGTATCCTCTCCACTCAGAGAAGCCCCTTAAATGAACTCATGGCTGCAGGGATGGAGTGGATGGTTTGGCAGGGGCCTTGTGCATCTCAATGCCCAGTGTAGGGTCTGCCAGCTCATGCAACACACTCCCGTAAGTATAGAGGGCATCTATGAAACTGCGGGCCCACCTATAAATACAGGTATTGCAGCTTTTGGGTCCCTTGCCTTTCCCTGCCAGTGCCCTCACAGTGGTGAGGATGCTGTCAAAATCTCCCCAGCAGTCCAAGGCAAGCTGTACCTTGCTGGTAGACCAATGGGTGTAGTCACGGTCAAGAAATGCAAGTAGCTCAGCCCCGGGGATCATTGGGACTGAGAGGTCTGCAGGCTCCATGGAGCCTTCTGGTTCTTGAGCATCCTTCTCCTGGTCCTGGAGCTCAGCAGGCTCCTTAGGCACCATCTGAACCCCCAGTCTGCTAAGACCCTGGACTCCAGTTGGGATTGGAAGAGTTCTGCAGCTCCTTGGGACAGGGGTGGGGCTGGGGTGGGGCACCTTCACAAGATGGTAGGGTAGAGCTGGAGCCCTGGGGGGTGGTGGTCTGTGTAGGGTCCACAACAAGATCAACCTGTTGATTAGGGGACCCGACCCCGACCTCCTCTGGTGCGGGACCATGAGGCAGCCTGTAATTCTAATAGCCAATGTTTATAGTGGGCCTTCTGCCTATGTAAGCAAACCACCTTCACTCCCACGCACCTTGGTGCTTTTTTCCAAGGTATCAAGGCTGGCCTTACAATGGATTGAGCACATCCTGTGTCTATCACAGCTCGTACTGGTCTGCCAGCCACTAGCACTGTTACCTCAGGTAAGGGTTGTAAGGTCTCTGCCGAACTATCTCCTATGCTACAGTGCATCATTTCAACCTCATGGCTCTCTCTTGTCCTCATCCTACTGACCTTAGGTTCTTCCTTGGATTCTTTCAGTCTCATGGTTACCTGTGTCCCGCAGGGATGGTCTTGGGCCATGTGACACCTGCAGCCCACAGGGACACTCTTGGCTCATGTGACCGTGTCTACCACAATTGAAGTACACCATTCCTGCTGCATTTCCTCTCTTGATCTCATGACCTTCTCCTTCACTTTTGTGCTCCATCTCCCAAGCATAATTTGTCCCAGTTCCCTTGTGCTTCTATCCTGGCTGATCTCTGCCTGTACTGTATCAAAGTCTTCTGCCAGCTGAAGGGCCTTGGGGGAGGATTTTTGACAGTGGCACCAGACCCACCTCTGTGTATTGTCTTCCAGGTCTGAGAGGAGCTGCTCTAGTAGTATTTGATCACAGACTTCTTCTTTGGTTAAAGTTTCTGGCCTCAGCCATTTGTCTTGCAGGTCCGCTAAGCGCTGCCATAGAACTTGAGGTACCCTCTCTTCCTTCCTCTTCTTGCCCCTGAATGCCTGTCAGCATCTCTCTGGGGTTATATTGAGTTTCAATAATATTTCTTTTTTCACCTTGTTGTAATCTTATGCATCTATATGAGTCATGGCACGGTAGGCCTTCTGGGCCTGTCCTACCAACCACACTATCCTGTTGTCTCTGGGAGGACCTCCCTCTCACTGTAAAGAAAAGGAGAAATGAAAACAAACTGGGACTTATATTCCAAACTTTACGGTTGTCCCCCCCGCAACACACCTTTATTTTTAGCCCTGCTGTTAGGGTCTTTATGGTACCTCCGGACTGCCCCACTGCAGTTTTAGTTTCCCTTATGGCGTTTCCTTCAGGGTTCTCTCCTCTAGCAACTGCCTCCGCAGAGCTGCCTCTCTGCGCCTTTGGTTGTCCCTACCATCACTCTGGTTGAGTCAGCCACTTCCGGTTCCTGGTGTCTCTCTTCTGCCTGCTCCAGATATTTTTTTATCTTGGTGTTCCAGCTGACTCCCCATCCCCTCTGGAAACACCGGGTGAAGAACGAGCCCTGCGTAGTTCTTTGTGGCCTTGGGCCTGGGACGGCTGCTTGCCATTCAGGTGGGACTATCTTACTTTCTTGGGGTTCTTCTCTTTCCTCACAGCATGGACGGGACCTGTACCCACTCAGTCATGGGGTGGTCCTCAGGTGGAAAGGTTCCAGTAGGAGAAGGTGAGGGTTGCAGGGGGCAGCTACAGCAAGGGCATGACTAGGGGCAGGGGGCCCCCACTCCTTCTTTCCCCTTGGTTGCTCTTGCCCTCCCCAGGATCCTGCCAAACTTGATTTGGGAGCAGGGTCCTCTGACCTTACAGGGGAGCTGGATGATGTGACTGGGGTGCCATGGGGGCCTGAGGGGGGAGGGGTACCAGTGGCAGGGACACCACTCTTGCCAGTGGGACCTGCAGATGCCCTCTTCTCCTGGCCCATGGGGCATTCATGACACAAGTGCCCTTGGGCACAGCACTGGAAGCACCACAGGTCCCACTGTGTATAGAAAACCCTCACCAGGGCCCCTTGAAAAGGAATCACGAGGCATCACTAAGCCTCCAGACATGTTCCCACTGTCAGCTGGATCATAACCTGGCAATGGAAAGAGCACACGTGGTGGAGGCCAGGGTCTCGGCACCCCAGCAAGAGGGTCACCACTTGGGAGGTAACTCTCCACAGGGTTTGAAACTGGGGGAGTAGGGCGCAGTTAGGGATATAGGGAGGGATGGAGCTGAGGACTAGGGCTGTGCTAAATGGCAGTGTTCCATTTTGATCAGTGTTTCAATGTTTTGATGAAACAGTGTTTGGTTTTGAATTTTGTTTTGATTCAAAACAGCTGCTCTGTTCTGTTGAAACAGGGTCAAAATGGTGAAACTGTTTCACCATTTTGCCCATGGGATATAATGGGGAAGGACAAAAGAGCCTATAACTTTGTCATTTCTGGCTTGATTTGGATAAAACTCGAAGGAATGATAGCCCCTTCTAAGGGCATAAAGCCTGCCATGATTCAAGGTGATAGGTGTAGGAAATTTGGGGAAAATGCACCCCAAATATTTGAAAGCAAAACTTGTGTCATGTGTATGTGTTACACCACAGTGGGGTCAAAACTGCAGACATACTTACCCCTGCAAAGGCCATAAAGCCTGCCTAGTTTCAAAGAGATAATTGCAGGGGTTTGGGGGGAATTGTACCTCAAGCTGCAGACAAGCAAAACTCGTGACATGGGTGACACTTTGTGTGTTAAGGTGCATCAGGGTGAAAGCTGCAGCCCTGCTAGCCCCTGCTGAGGCCATGAAGCCTGCCAGCTGTCAAGGAGATCGGTGCAGGGGCTTCTGGGTTCTGGGGCCGCACTCCTAGCTGCTGACAGGCAAAACTCAAGATATGGGAGCTTGTGCAACTGACTGTCTCTGTCTTGGGGCAGAAGCAGTCCCTGGCTCTATATTGGTTCTTTCCTCTCCTTAGTCTGTGGTTTCATACGTGTTAATCTTTGCTCATTAAGTTATTATCTGCTAGCTACTGTGTTACACAATCAAACATGATTCATTCAGGGACCAGCTCAATACCCAGTAGCTAGCTAGGATAATGAGTTGGTGGGGCTGGGGCAAGGACCAGGGACAGGTTGAGTGGGTGTGCTGCCTGGTGTGGTGCACCTGGTCCCCTCAGGCACCAGTGGTCTAGTCTTGGGCCCTTGCCCTTCCCACCCCCAGCTGTGGAGAAGGATGAAGAGAAGCCCTTCCCACTTCCCTTGCCCTTGGGAAGGCCTCTCTTCTTCAGGGGGATGGGACTTGGAAACCCCTGGGGGGGGGGTTAGCTAGGGGAAACCCCCTGGCCTTATTGGCTCCCAACCAGAGTTCTGCCTGCCTCTGAAGTGGAGGTTGCAGGCTTCTCCACCTCCAGATGAGGTTGGTTGGACTCTGCCTCTGGGATGGGGGCTGCAGGGGCATTCATCTCCTCGAGGGCTTGGCTGGGACCTGCTCCCATAATGGGAGCTGCAGGGAGCTCTGTGGGGACATCTGCCCCACACCCCCCACAAGGTTCCGGCCCCGCAATTGCTTCACAAGGGAGGGGAGAAACAATAAAGAAAACCAAAATATGCAGTGGGGCTGGTGAATCTAATAGGGGCAGGTTGGGTTTGTGGGGGAAATGGGGTGGGGGGGCTGAAGCTCACTGAAATACAGCCCCAGAGGAGAAAAATTGGGAGGGCTATGTTTGGGGAATGTGGGGGAGGGGGTAACACACACAGAAGGGCTGGGGAGACTCGAGCTGGCTTACTCAGCCACACAACAAGCAACAAGGCAGGAGGAGTGGACTACAGGACTTACCACACAAGGGCAAAAACTCAGAGTAAAGGCTGTCGAGGCAGATGTAAAAGATGGCTGGAGCAGCAGAGGGGCTTTTTTTTGTTGAAGATCAGTCCAGGAGCCCCTCAGGCCTCCAGCCAGGCAATCAGCAGCAGTGCAATAGGCAGGAAAAAAAAGGCAGAATGAAATGCAGTGAAGCAGCTGTGGGGGAGTGCAGGAGCAATCAGTCAATTAGGGAGTAATCCAGTGCAAGTCTGGTGTTGAGTGGTGCAAGGTGGTGCAGCAGGGAATCTCCCTTTCTCCTGAGATGGGGCAGAACAGAAGGCAGCAACAACAGCAGCAGTGGTGATAGCAGCTGTCCAGTTCAGCCACCCAGGGTATTCTTCAGATGAAAGTGGATGGGAAGGCAGAGGGTGGTCTGCCAAGGCATCTGAGACAGGCAAGGTGCCTTTAGACTCTGGCAGTGTTTGTGGGGGAGGGGCCCACAGGTGGGCTGGGCAGCAGGTCAGAACAGGAGTGCAGAAGCTGGGGCACATTGCTGGGGTGCAGTGCAGTGTGATGCCCGCCCCAAG